GGGGTGGTGGTGGTGGGGTGGGGGTGTGGGGGTGTGTGTCCCCCCCCCCCCAAACCCAGCTCAGGGTCCCCCTGTCCCCCGTGGCAGCGTGAGTCTCAAAGGGCTGAGCACCGAGGAGCTCGACTCCAGTGCGGAGCAGTTGGACAGGCTGGGGGGGTACCGGCGGGACCCCCGCAGAGCCCCCCTCCTCCACAGCAACGACGACCTGGAGTCCCTGATGTCCCAGGATGAGGAGGAGGATGAGGCCGACGTGCAGCGGGCGCAGGTAGGAGCCCTCCTCTTCCTCCTCTTCCTCCTCCCCAGGGTGTCCTGTCACCCAGCTCCAGGGGATGGATTCAGGGACTGAGCTTGGGTGAAGGTTGGGGACCTCAGGAGTGGGGGGATCATGATGGGTTCCTCAAGAAAACCCCATCCTGGGTGGCTTTGCCACCATCCAGGTGAGGGTTGGATCCCACCCTGCCACCTCCCCAGGTCCCATCCTGACCAGATGCCACCAGGTCCCTGAAGTGACTACAAAGCCCCCGGAGCATCCTCTCCCCAGTGCGTGGCTTTGCCACCATCCTGGGACTGGCTGAGGGTTGGAGACCCCAACATCATGATGGGGCCCCAGGAAGGCCCCATCCTGGGTGGCTTTGCCACCATCCTGGTGGACGGGCTGCACCCCTGTGGAGTCACCCTGGGGGAGATGGGACCCCCTCACTGATTGATTCCCCCCCCCTTCCAGCTCTGAGACTGGCGAGGAGCCGCTCTCATCCCAGCTCCAGGGGATGGATTCAGGGACTGAGCTTGGGTGAAGGTTGGGGACCTCAGGAGTGGGGGGATCATGATGGGTTCCTCAAGAAAACCCCATCCTGGGTGGCTTTGCCACCATCCTGGGTGGCTTTACCATCATCTGGGTGAGGGTTGGAGTCCCTGGTAGAGGGCATCATGATGGGTTCCTCAGAGGTGAGGGTTGGGGACGCTGGTAGAGGGCATCATGATGGGTTCCTCAGGAAAACCCCATCCTGCGTGGCTTTGCCACCATCCTGGGACTGGCTGAGGGTTGGAGACCCCAACATCATGATGGGGCCCCAGGAAGGCCCCATCCTGGGTGGCTTTGCCACCATCCTGGGTGGCTTTACCATCATCCAGATGAGGGTCAGGAACCCCAGGAGAGGCCATCATGATGGGTCCCCAGGAAAGCCCCATCCTGGATGGCTTTGCCATCATCTGGGTGAGGGTTGGGGACCTTGGGAAGGGGGATCATGATGGGGTCCTTGCAGAAACCCCATCCTGGGTGGCTTTGCCACCATCCTGGGTGGCTTTACTGTCATCCAGATGAGGGTTGGGGACCCTGGTAGAGGGCATCATGATGGGTCCCCCGGGAAAGCCCCATCCTGGGTGGCTTTCATCATCTGGGTGAGGGTCGGGGACCCCGGGATTGTGGGATCATGATGGGTTCCTCAAGAAAACCCCATCCTGGGTGGCTTTGCCACCATCCTGGGTGGCTTTACCATCAGCTGGGTGAGGGTTGGGGACCTTGGGAGGGGGGGATCATGATGGGTTCCTCAAGAAAACCCCATCCTGGGTGGCTTTGCCACCATCCTGGGACTGGGTGAGAGTCAGGGACCCCAAGATCATGATGGGTCTTCAGGAAAACCCCATCCTGGGTGACTTTGGCACCATCCAGGTGAGGGTTGGCATCCCTGATAGAGGGCATCATGATGGGTTCCTTACAAAAACCCCATCCTGGGTGGCTTTGCCATCATCTGGGTGAGGGTCGGGGACCCTGGCAGGGGGGATCATGGTGGGTTCCTTGCAGAAACCCCATCCTGGGTGGCTTTACCATCATCCAGATGCGGGTCAGGGACCCTAGGAGAGGCCATCACGATGGGTTCCTCAGGAAAGCCCCATCCTGGGTGGCTTTGCCACCATCCTGGGTGGCTTTACCATCATCCAGATGAGGGTCAGGAACCCCAGGAGAGGCCATCATGATGGGTCCCCAGGAAAGCCCCATCTTCCCCGGGGTGCCTTTAAGGAGAACCTGCCTCCTCCGCGCCTCCATCCGCTGCCGGGACCCCTTTCGTCGACACAGCTGGGAGCCGGGCAAGGAGCTGCGGGGGGTCCCCGGCTACGACCACCTCAGGTAGGGGGGGACCTGTCCCCTGTCCCCCGAGTGACTTTGCCACCATCCAGATGAGAGTTGGGGACCCTGGTAGAGGGCATCATGATGGGTCCCCCGGGAAAGCCCCATCCTGGGTGGCTTTCATCATCTGGGTGAGGGTTGGGGACCTTGAGAAGGGGGATCATGATGGGTTCCTCAGGAAAACCCCATCCTGGGTGGCTTTGCCATCATCTGGGTGAGGGTTGGGGACCTTGGGAAGGGGGATCATGATGGGGTCCTTGCAGAAACCCCATCCTGGGTGGCTTTGCCATCATCTGGGTGAGGGTTGGGGACCCTGGGAAGGGGGATCATGATGGGTTCCTGGGGAAAACCCCACCCTGGGTGGCTTTGCCATCATCTGGGTGAGGGTCGGGGACCCTGGCAGGGGGGATCATGGTGGGTTCCTTGCAGAAACCCCATCCTGGGTGGCTTTACCATCAGCTGGGTGAGGGTTGGGGACCTTGGGAGGGGGGGATCATGATGGGTTCCTCAAGAAAACCCCATCCTGGGTGGCTTTGCCACCATCCTGGGACTGGGTGAGAGTCAGGGACCCCAAGATCATGATGGGTCTTCAGGAAAACCCCATCCTGGGTGACTTTGGCACCATCCAGGTGAGGGTTGGCATCCCTGATAGAGGGCATCATGATGGGTTCCTTACAAAAACCCCATCCTGGGTGGCTTTGCCATCATCTGGGTGAGGGTCGGGGACCCCGGGATTGTGGGATCATGATGGGTTCCTTGCAGAAACCCCATCCTGGGAGGCTTTGTCACCATCCTGGGTGGCTTTACCGTCATCCAGATGCGGGTCAGGGACCCTAGGAGAGGCCATCATGATGGGTTCCTCAGGAAAGCCCCATCCTGGGTGGCTTTGCCACCCTCCTGGGCCCGGGAAGCTCCTGCTCGAGCTGCGTTATCCTCTGGGAGCAGCTTTATTTTTGGGGGATCAATGTCAGGGAGGGGAAAATAACCGGGCTACGAGCTTGGGGACCACCTGGCACCATCCTGGGGACTGGCATCTCCCGAAGGGTGGGTGGGGGGTGGCAGGGACCGGAGCCGGTGCCAGCCCCGGTGCCAGCCCCGGTGTCACCGCCGGCAGGAGGATGCTCGGGCGCTGCCGGGGTTCGGCGCCGGCGGCCGCGGCCTCTCCAAATCGGTGTCTCTCAGCGTCATCGACAGCTTCCCCGACCCAGACGGTGAGTGGTGGCACCCACATGTCCCCCCCGCCCCCACTTCTCCCCCGGGGGGACCCCGCATCCCCCCCCTCTATCCCCATCCCTGCTCCGACCTCCCTAATAACGACCCAAAATCGATGGCGCTGCCGCCAAAGTTAATTATTCCTCGGCCTCCCCCCGCGGCAGCGAGGGACCAGGGGTTTTACCACCCAAAAAGCCGCCTCCTCCCTCCCCTTTTTTAATTCATTTTTCTTTTACAGTTGCAGAAATAATCCCCTTCGCCTCCCAACTGAGCCTGGTCAATGGGTGAGTTGTTGGGGGGGGGAAAACACACCCCCCCAGACACAGGGCCGGGGTGTGACTAAGGCAGCTCAGAGCCCGGAGAGCCCCGAGGGGAGATTTATAGATTAAATATTGGCCCAAATTAGGGATATTTTTTTTTTTTTTAATAGCTCGTGGGGACGGGACGGCTGAGCCCCGACGGGGTCAGGCTGAGACCTGACACAATTCACTCAATCCCAACAGGAACAAACCGCCAGGGATTGACAGGCTGGAGGGGATGGTGTCCCCCTCTCCGTGTCCTGGGGGGGCCATCACGTCCCCCCCCCCCATCCTGGCAGGGCACGGGGCCACCCCTGTCCCCAAGGCCTGTCACAGCCCATTCCCATCCTCATTAGGGAGGTTGTCATCGCTCCCGGGACTGGCCGGGAGCCCCACGGGGGGGGACAAGCGAGGACAGGGAGGATGGGGACACAGAAGGAGAAGGTTGGGGGGAAGGGGGGGTCAGGCTGACCCCTAAACACCCCCCCCAAAAAAGGATAGTGCTGCCTGGACCCCGCACCCCACAGCAGTGTCCCCCCCACCGTGTCCCCAAGGATGGTTGGGATCAGGGGGGGTGGCTTGTCCCCTTTGGGGGTGTCCCCAAGGAGCCAGGGCCCAGGAAAAGGTTGGGGGGGGGTGTTTCTACACCCGTAGCA